TTAGCAGTCTCTTTTCGAAAGCATATTTTCGGGCAATAGGCCCATTCGAACTGTCCAAGACAGATAAGCAATTAAGGGAATATTCCCCAATAATGTCTGAGTAATTAAATGTAAAAACATTTCTAGATTTTTTTTAAACCACTCTAATATACACACATATTAATTTTTTATCGATAGTATTTATAGATATTGGTGTAAAAATAGCAATAAAACTGATATTAATATGAATAGAAAAAATATATTTAGTGGCAATGGCCAACAGATGCAAGACAACAAAAATCCTATAAAGACATAACACGCCAGCTCTAATAAAACAAAAACAACAAAACATAAAACTGTAATATAGAAAATTGGCGTGAATTTGATAAAACCGGTGCAATCGTAATATTGTTTTTTTATGCTTTCATAGCAATCAAACCGCTGCTACGCGAATCACTACAACGGCACAAAAGCGGCAGCAACTGCAATACATTTCCGCGGTCAATAACATGGGTACGCATAAAAACCGCGGGAAATACGTACATGCTCAAATATTTATGTTTTGATCTTGTATCTAGTTATGGACAGATCATCGTTGATAGTAGTAAGCAAGTACATTAGAGTGCATCACCAAAATTAGTGGCTGTTTTTTCATCGGTACTATAAAATTATATTATATTTCAAGACTTTCGCCAAAATATTTCCGAAAATATCAAGATTTACGTGAACGATTTCACAATCAGCCCGATTCTGAATGACAACTCTCGGGGAATTTTTTCTCTTTTCCCTTTCCTCCTATTCTGAATGGCATATGTCGGGGATTTTTTTCTCTTTTCCTTTTCCTCCAATTCCAAATAAACTTCGAAAATGGGAATTTGTTTCTCGCGTAAAAAGTAGCTATTACGAATGTGAAAAAAAGGGAAATTGTGTTGACATTTCTGGAGAATTTTTCCGCTAAGAAATTTAAAGAGAGTCCTTATCAAAAATGTAAGTAATTAAATTTTTGCATAATAAATGGAATATTTATTATTATTTACTTTTATTAAAATGATTACTAATAACATTATTATTACACCCAGGTCAAAAACAACCAATAAACATCAGATCGAGCTGCTTTTAAGTCGCATGCAAGCGCACCCAGACATTGCGCGCGGTTTTTTTAAAGGCCAGAAGGACGATGTTAACAAGTTTTGGCGCCAGGTGGAAGAGGATTTAAACTCAGCAGGGCCACCAATGAAAAATGTGTGCGAATGGAAAAAGGTAATGATGATAAGCTACTTGAGGGTATAAGAATTAAAAGTGCAATACATATTTCAGGTTTGGGCTGATCAAAAAAAATACGTACGGCGAAAGGCGGCCCAAAATCTAAAAGCCAGCAAAGGAACTGGTGGAGGACCCAACATGGAACAAAAATTGTCGCCTACTGAAGAAGCCATATACGAGTTAGTTGGGATGAAGGAATCTGTGGAGGGTGTATCAAATACACTCAAGTTTGGCCTTTCAAGTCATGTGACAAAGTCACCTGCAGATAATTCCACAGCAGAGAATGATATACTCGATAGCACTATTGAAGAACTTGAGGAAGTTACTCCGTATCAGCCGCCAACGAAAAAAAAACGCAACACTCCGCAAGGCGAGCCAAAAAAGCAAAATAGCTATACTAACGATATGTTTGTACAGGAAATCGGTGTGCAGAAAGAGGTGTGTGAGTCAATAAAAGAGGCTGTGACGGGTTTAAAGGACCAAAAGGAAATTACAAAAAAAATTTATCGCTCCCTTGATCGGATTTATGACGTTCAAAAGCAAAATTTTGAAAAAATGTTTCAACTAGAACAGGAAAAAGTGGAAGAAATGAAGCGACATAATTTATTTATGGAAAAACTTAGACTTAGTGAAGTGGAGAGTAAAATAGAGAGAAATCGTCGTCTATTGGAGATAGAAGATTTAAAGGGCAATATTAAATAATAAGAATGTGAATAAGTGTGAATCAGACTGAATTTTTTTTTTTTTTTTGAAGTTTTGTTTAAGTTTTGTTTTTAATGTACATACATACAGTCATGTGAAAAATAATAGGGACACGACATTTTGACCAGTATTGCTTATTTTTCTTTTGTTTGTTTAATGATTATAATTTTTTTTAATACAGCTTATATTTTAACAAAAACCATCGGTCTAAATTTTAAACTTTGTAGAAAAATAAGAAAAAAAAAATAAAAAAAAAAAAGCTGTATTAAAAAAAAATAAAATCATTAAATAAACAAAAGAAAAATAAGCAATACTAATCAAAATGTCGTGTCCCTATTATTTTTCACATGACTGTACGTACATACAGTGATGGAAGGAATAATATCAACTTTTTATTTTGACCAGTTTTGGTTATATTTCCTGTGGTTATTTAATGTTTAATATACACAGGTACACACTACTATGTACTATGTAGTTACATAAATATGTACTTTGTTAAGGACTGAATTTGTTGTTTTTGTTCTTTTTATTAAAAAACTATTTATAATAAAAATGGTTCTTATTGCTTTTGCATTATAAAAATCGTATTTTCATTTATTTTATTCATTTGTTTTCCAATTTCATTTAATTGTTTATTTTTAATTAATTTTATTAAAAAATACATAGCCGATAGCCCCAGCAGCTAGCGCTACCTTACTGTTTAAATTTATGTGGAATTTTTTCGCAGAATTCTATAAGTTCAGCCCGATATCGCTTCGTACTCTCTGCGCTGCATTTATATACTGCGGTTGTGTTAAAGCGTTTTGCTCGCTGAGGGTCACTGCAATCGTCCATTGTCGGTTCATAATTTGCAATGAAATCTGCTTTGTAATGTATACAAATGTTGTGTATTGCACAACAAACATTGACAATTTTTGCCGCCTTCTTTGGAGTGTAATGGAGCTCTCTCGCACCGAGAAGACACCTCCATCTACCCTTTAACACACTATTTGTGCGTTCAATTACGTTGCGGCACTTCGAGTGCACTTCATTAAATCTACTTTCAGTAGAGCCTTCGTTTGGAACCCTGTGTGGTGTCAAGAGCCATGGCTCTAAAGGGTAACCAGCATCTCCTGTTAAAATTTGTTATAATATTAATTATAAGCAATATTTATATATTTTTTAATTTTAAAGTTTTTACCTAGTAGCCAAAAGTTGGTTACTCCTCGCAAGTAATCCTGCTCAAAGTGTGCTCTTAAATCGCTTGTATTCCAAATAAAGGAATCGTGGGAAGCACCGGGGTGGGATGCATCCACGTAGCGGACTTTTAGTTCATGATCGCAGAGCTGTAAAAAGTGAATACCTATACCTATATGTAATAAAAAATCGACATCTATTGAAAAAACTTACAAGCATCACATTTAAACTGTAATTTCCCTTTCTATTATAGTAAAGATGTTTATTTTCAGTGGGTGCTATGATTCGCACATGCGTTCCATCAATGCATCCCATTACACCGGGAAAGCCATGCCTTACATATAAAGCTTGGGCAATTTTTCTTTTTTCTTCGGCTGTCTTTGCTACTTGAATCCACTTTGGGCACAGATGCTTCTCAAAGATTTCCAGCACTTCAGTAAGAATTTTGCTTAAACTAGACTGTGCTACGGAAACGTCGTGGTCCTTACCGACTCCCGTTTGGTAGCCACCTT